ACTACGGTTTTTCACTAAAGCCAAGTAGATAGACCTCATTTCCCCCTTACTCCCCCCACCCTGCCCCAGCCCATACTGCAGGTCAGTACTCCTGGAGGTAAGTACAGCACAGGGACTGTTAAGCAAACATCATGCCCTCAGCAACAACACGCTCTGCGACCTTGGACATTAGCATGTCTTTACCACAAAGACACAGTGTTTGCCTGAAGAATGACGTAGTTTCTCCATTTGTTTGGCGCGTGTAGTGACACCTTTAGCCTTTACATGGATAGGTGAGACATGTGATTTCTCCTCTCACTGAGCCACACTTCCTCCTTGAGCCTACCTCTTCTAGAGCTGCATGCCAAGATCAGTGCCTGTAGTAAATCTTAACAGTTTACATGCTGACAGCAGTAGCACTCTGTGACACTCAGCAGAGAAACCTCTGCAAAAGCTGAGGATACAGTACAGTTGAATGCCTTGTGCTTGTGTTGTTTTATTTCCTTTAATGTCCTGTTTCCTAACTTTTTTTGCTGAAGAATGCTGTGGCACATAACGTGGACATAAAGCCTTCCCTGCTTTACAGTGTTTGCTTTATATTCCATTTTTCCTATCCTAACAGAAAGATGAACCCCATAGTGTATTAAAGTCTCTCCACCACAAACGAGGCATCTAGTATGGATTAAAACCACTTTTTATGAAGTACATTATCTAAGAACCTCTTGAGACCAAGAAGGTGCAATACTGTTGTCTTCTTCAGGGCCACAGAGAAAATCAGAGTTTGAGTCCCATCATTCCTGATATGGTTAGAAGCTGTCACAGCTAGGAGAGTACTTGGAAGTGTTCTTTTTCGAGTGTCATCTGTGATATGGTCTGACAGGCTATTAGAGAAAATGTGGGGGGAGTCTTCTTGGAATGGTGTCTGACATTTAGAAACCACTTCAGATAATCCCCTGCAGCCCACCTTGTGTTCTTAACTCTTTCAGAAGTATATATAGATATTTCCATGTGGGTAATGGCTAATATGTGCCTTTCTAGTCCTTCTGAGCCAATACCTGGCACTCTAAGCACTAGGATTACAGATCCTAGCAGAGATTCAGAGGACTGAGGAGAAAAAGAAGTGAATGGACATGATGGTGAACTTTTTCACTTAATTTAGGAATGGAAGCCTTTTCAGGCAAGAATATGGAATGAACAATCAATGTTAGATAATGTCACTGTAAGGTTCAGTAGTATTAACATGCAGACCCATGACTCTGACCATGCTGTGCAGAAATTAGTAGTACATATTAAAACAACACTGGAAAAGAGTACATACTTTCATCATCACAGCTACAAAATCATCGTTTCAGGATACTTACACGTCTAAAAATGAGGTTATAATGGTTTTGTGCATCCTTAAATGATAGGAGTAAGTTTGGGGGAGGGGGATGCAGTGTACTGGCATTTAACAAAGCAACTAACCCATCCCATAAAAAAAAAAAATCAAATCACTGACTGAACTAATTATTCTATGTCAAAGTTGTTGTATTATCCAAGTCATAAACTGTCTCACTGAGCTACATAGTATTGCCAACTCAGCTTTCCAGTGACCCAACTAATTTTGGAATGGTTTCTTTTTTTGTTTAAGCCTTTTTCAGAGTAATGTGATGCAGTCATAGGGCTGGAGCTATCAAGACGCTGTCTGCTGGTATGAGCACCCTTGTTAGAGGTAGCCAGACCTAAACATTACTTTTGACAAGAGATTGAATTTGTGGCCATGGACAGCATGACTTTGGTACAGGCAACTGCAATACTGGAAGATGGGGACACCTTCAGTGGACATGGAGTGGGAGCAACACCAAAGCCCTGGTGGAAGGTGAGTTCAGACAAATAATGATGCTGGTCAGGAATCAGATTTGGAGGTTTCAGGAAAACAGGAGGCAAAGAGAGGCAGAGATCACACAGATGAATGTTAAGGGGTACAGATTACAACTTTGTGACAAAGTGGCTCAGTAATGGCATGAAACACATGCCCTTTTGTAGAATCCACTGTTGTGTTGCCACCCGTCTTAGTGGTATCTGGGGTTTGTCTTCTGCAGTTTGTAGGGCTGGCCACACAAGCTGGGTTTTCTGTGGGAGTTCAGTTCCCAAGGAAGCACCAGATCTTCTCTGCCTCCCTAGGGTTCCTCATCCCTCACTGCCCCTGGCATGGAAAGAGGGAAGTACTGCAAAGATCCCAGGCTGAGGATAAGGACAGGGAGAATGGGAAGGGAGGGCAGTTGAGCTAAAGAATAAGTACTCTCAGTTATTGGTATGCTTACAGAAATATTACAGGCTATTGCAGTGTTTGCTGATCTACTTTTCTAGTGAAAAGCCTTTTAATAGAGCAGGGATTACGAACTATTTTTTGATAGTTTTGGATGAATGAGTATTGATTGCTTAAATAGATATCTAATTAGGTATGGTGATTGAAGATTTTCTGCATGGATTATGGCTTTTTTATATGTTAATGAGAAAGCTAATATAAATAATCTTGTAATATAAAAATCTTTATAGCTCACCCATATCTATGTTTGAAACATCACAGCAGATGATGCATAACTAGTAAGAGAGCTTAAATGTTCATTGTTTTGCCTTTTAAAGCATGGAAACAGAAAATAGTGATCAGCTGTAAAAGAGATGGGTAATGTTCAAACACAATCTAGCATTTCCTCTCACAAATGGAGCACGGAGTAAGTGAATTTTGTATTTGATTGGCTTGAAGATTGTAGATGTTGACTTTTCCATCTGAAATTACCATACAAAAGTTGACAGAATTATACATTTAAAAATATTAAAGATCACTAAAAACTGTCTTTACAGGTGGCTTTGGTTATTATTTAGGACTTAATTTGTGGTTTGCTGTCTTGAGTTTGACAATACAAATACTGGATTTTCATAGTAGTTAATGTAGCTGCTGTCTTTCTTACAGTCAACCTTGCTGTCAAAGGATCTCTCAGTTCTGCAATGAAGTTTTGAGTGAAGACTTGTTGGATGAAGCATGTTAAAATGAGTGGAAAGCCTTGTTTAAAAGCAATAGGTAAAAATTTCTGAATTCCTTGTGTTTCTTCAAGCTGATGATTGTGGGGTTTTTATGTGTTTCTAGCAGTATCATTTCAATAGTTTTTGCCTTTAATTACTCATATTAAATAGCATTTTAAATTAAAATAATAAGTAACTGTGAAGAGAGACAAACTGTAGTACCTCTGAGAAATAAATATGAAAAAGAAAGAAATGGATGGAGCAATTTCAGAGATTACATGGACACCAAAAGAAAAATGAAAAAGTTAAAGCTTCCCTCTGCACTTCAGTAAATTAAGTACTATTAATTTTAACACTTTTGTATGTGGTCAGGCCTGTAAAAGGGTTTGAAATATAATGGAAAAAAACACTGGAAGAGTGTCTAACATGCATCCACATGAAAAACACCTGGCTCGGTGTGCCCCAAGAGAGTGCTGCCTGCGTGATGGGGTTAAAGTCTAATCAGAGCAGACTTCAGCTGAGTGAAGTCTGCCTCCTCCTCACCTCTCCACACTGTGCTGGATGTTTCCTGTTTTCTGTACTTTGCAGTCTTGCTTAACTGTCACAAAGTCCAGCTTGTTCATCCCTATCTAATCAGAGGTATTATTTATCAAGTGGTTTGTTTTTCCCATTCACCTACAGCCCTCACCCCCATGCAGAGATCCTCGCCTTTAACCCCACTGAAATAAATCACCTGTATTTCTGGCTCCACAGCGGTGTCTGCAGACACGTATATCAGGGAAGGTATGGAGAGTATGGAGGGTGTTGGGGAGAACAGACTCAGGCCCACAGAGAGCACTGAGGGGATTGCACAGTGAGGGCTTGCTTGCTCATTGTTCTCTGTGTCTTAAAGGTGGGCTGCAACAAACACCATGACTTGAAATTGAAAAACATGCAAGCACATAACATTACTGTTGTCAAACTCACATCTTTGTAATAATTTCAGTAGTGGGGATAGCAAACAAGGACACAACTTTAAATCAGGATGCTAGTGGCAACTTTTCTGGACTGTGCAAAATAGCTGTAATAGGGCATGAAGATAAATGCAGTAATGACACTGGTCTCTGTGCCCTTCTGTTGACATTTTGTTTTTAAAAAGCAAGTAGGCAAACAACTGGCAGCTATAACAGGAGACACTTAACTATTTATTACCTGTTTATCTAAGCAGCACATAGTCCCCCCAGAAAGCACACTTAGGTGCTGCATGTTAACACTGGCATACAATTGCAAAATATAAACTACAACAGATGTCTGAAAGTGGACCAGTTTGCTGAAAAGACCATTGTACAGGTGGTTTCTGCACTGCTGGAGAAACATTGGACACTATGACAGACATTCAAAGAGCAAGTAGGCACTGACTACATAGCTGGCCAGAGGCTTACTAACAGGGCAAGGAAATATAACACTGTTTTTTTCTTCATCAGCATTTAAAAATCACCAGTGGTTACACAGCTGGAAATGTGGCATTCATAGCTTGCTGTGCAGAACAAAGACTTGGGAGTGGACATTGATACTGCTGACAGCCCATAGGTGCATGAATAAACGGCCTGATGGAGTGGATTCTCTCATAGCATGAGCTGTCAGGACAGATTGTGGAAATGAATTTACTCTAGCAACAGAGACACATGCAGTGAAGAAGCACAGACCATGGCATACCTAATTCTATATGCATTTTTGGCAGATGTGTGTTTTACTGAAGATTATTCAGAACCATATGTTGGCCCCTGCCATCTGCTGAATTTGGATACGATGTCTATAAAGCTGGTGTGCAAATACAGAAAACGAAACTCTTAAACTTTGGGAGAGAAACTGCCAGTGCCTTTGCAATTACAACTGTCTCCCCCCCTTTTTTTTTTTTTTTTTTTTTGGTGAAGTATAGCCTTTCTATACAGAAGTATACTACAGTTAAATTCCAGCACACAGAGCAGCTTGATTTTATCTCAAGTCCTTCTTATTAAAATGCTTCAATACTTGATTGGAGAAGGACCTGAGCAGACTGGTCTAGTAAGATCTGTTCTGAGTGGAGAACTGGACTTGGGACCTTCAGAGGTCCTCTTCAATGTCAGTTGTTGTAGGAATTGAATTATTACATCCATGCAGACGCATGAACACAGAAGTACCTTTCTTAGTCAAAGATGGTAAAGAAGGAGGTGGATCTTCCCATCAGGAAAACCAACTGTGGCATACAGAAAGAAGAGACAGTAGAGTTTTAATAGAAACATTGTTTATTTGGTAGAAAGTTTGCTTGTAAGTATCTTTAGAAAAAAAGTAATTCACCCTGCATCCAGCCAAATTGCTATTGAAATGTCTGGTCTGGTGATTCACAGCTCCTCACAGCTGAAAGTAAAGCTTTTTCCTTCTCTCTTCAAAAGCAGTGCAATCTCACAGACATTGATACCTATAGTAGATAGAAAATCCTCTTGGGCTTCTAGTCTAATAGAGACCTATCAATTTATGCTTTGTCTTCGACCAGAATCATACTTAGGTTGGACACCTTGAAAACAAAGGTATTTTTTGTTTAATTGAGTAACATCCCCTGAATTGTCTTGGACAATAATGCCTTGAGTCCTGGCGTCTGGCCGATCAAGAAAGAATCCTTTTGTGCAAGCAGTAGTTGGTGCTTTGAAAAATAATCTCTGAACTATTGGGAATGAACCAACACCCAAGAAAATCCATCCCGTTTGTTTCAGAAATAGTCACTAAATTTGTTTTAATGTAAATAAGGCCACACTTCAGGGAGTTAATGCTAGGCCTTGAATTTATGTAGTCTGAGATACATCAACTCTGCTCTGCTTCCCTGGTAGAAAAGAGAGGGAAAAGGCTTGTGTGTTTGAAACTGCATTTTTAGCCTGAACTGTGGAACAAAATCCAACAGGAATTAAGACATCACAGTATCCTCCCACTTTCTGTTCCAAGATGAAGTACACTTCTCTGACTTGTTATTTCTAATAAAGCACGTGGCACGGAAAACAAAAATCAGTCTACTTATGAAAGTTCAGAGGCAACAGCAGAAGCAACTCTTGCCTGAGATGTCACATTGGCATGGTGGGCACTGAGCAAGTACCTCAGTAACTTGGAAATATCCCCCAGCAGGCTCAGTAAAAGCAGCACCTCTGTTGTAAAGGTGAATTGGGCACTTAAGGAAAATATTCCAGAAGGACCTGTCTAATTTATTAACATGCTCCTTGCACAAAGGAGTTTGTTTGTATCTGACACTCTTGCACTAGCAGGTTCAAGCTGTAGGCCCTCTGCCTATTGTTTGGTGTCTCAGTCAACTTGTCTCATCTCTTATGCTCTGTAAATTGTCTTACAGTTTAGAAGGAATGCCTCGAATTTATGTTCTTAATTTTCAGCTGTGAAGCTCAGCGAAATTACTGACCTCCACTGGACTTGTGGGATGACAAAGTACTACTGGGCAAACAAGGAAAATAACTTCAAGACAAATGGGTAAATCATTTCCCACACCAAAACATTTATTAACTGCATATAGTTAGTTGGTTTCGAACTTTCTTTTTCTTCTTCCTTTTTCCTTTCTCTGTCCCATATATTGTACTTTGCTGTGAGATTTTCTTTGCAAGAAGGAGTATGAATGGATCCTCATGAAAAGAACAGGGCACTGTTCTGGATTTGTATAGTACAACAATAGAAAAAAGAGTGAAGAGAATGCACACCGCACTGAAACATTCACAGCTGAAAATGCATTAACAGGTTGCATTTTCTCACACACGCAGGCACTTAGTGGAGTAAATATACAGTCATGTTAAATCCTGCTACCTTAACCATACTACATTAAAGCCTGAGAATATGTTTGCCCACCTGCCACCGGGTGACCACTCTGGTATCTTTGGGATTTTCAGCCGCTGAGAATAAATTGTGGTTCTGCCTGTGCAATTTCTCCTGCATCCTCTGACAGGAGAGGTGCCTTTCCTTTGAAATGGCATGGAATCCACAAGCAGTTTTTAGTTACATCTCATTTCCAAAGGTGTTAGAGAAGTACGCCAGCTGATTGCTAAGAGACCAAAGTGCTGCTCTGTGCTATGAAGCCATTTCCCCGCTAACTTGCATTATGCTTTGGTGTTGTGTAATAGACACCCTTCACATGCTGACAGCTGTAGGTTTGCAACTTTCTTGGTGTCATCTCTCAGGTGGTTTATGTCTCTCACATGTACAACCAGACTTGTTAAAGAGCTTAAGGCGTAAATCACCTGGGAGAGAGTGGGGGAAAGAAAATTCAAAGCTCTTCCTGCACCAAAACCAAAAAACCAAACAACCTCACTAACAAAACACAACAAAAATATTGTACTTGGTTCATTCCAAAGCTAGGAATATAATTTCAAAAATAGTTCAACCAAACTCCAGATGTAAGTGAATTTGATTTAAGGCCCACTTAAGTCAATGTTGGCTTTCCATTAGACCTTAACTTTTTGATGTCAGTTATAATTCTGAAAGAGATCTGTCATCTGCATGGTTTTATATCTAACTGTGCCCACAGCTGTGGTACAGAGTACTTAACCCAAATGCCTAACAACCAGAGCACATTAAGTTAACAGATCAGTATCAGCGTGGGCCCTTGATGTGTTGTGCTATTGCTTGTTTTTATGAACACCTAGCTTTGTTTCCTATGGGTATTTAGCTTGCTGCCGACCAGAGAATGAACCACTCAGGCTGAGCTGTCAACTACAGCTCCAAAATGAAACAAGGATCCTGCACAACAGCAGCACCTGATCTAATCTTTCCTTTGCCTCTGTGCTGATAGGAAGTCAAGGTAAATTAATGTTGAATGTCTAAGCCCAATCAGCAACTGATAAGGCCTTTTAATGACCTGGATTCACTACAACTAGTGATGATACCAACCAACAGTAGTTATCCTGTTGTTTATGATGTCTGTAATGTATCAGTGAAAACATCCATTTGTGACCTGGCTGTGTAACATCAGTGGCTGTTGCTCTTTTCCTACTCCCACCTTAAAAGTTGACCATTAATGAAGCAACAGAGGCTTTCTTTTTAAGAGCCTCTGTTGCAAGAAAAAGAGTGGGGAAGGGTGGAGGTGCAGACAGGATCTGCAGGGGGAGAGACTTACAAATAAGAGGCTTTATAAAACTTGAACAATAGGTGAAATTTGTGGGAAAGTTCACTTAAACCACTCCTGCTTTTGAAAGGTGTGCCCTAAACCACAGCTTTGAAACAGAGGTCAGAGATCAGACCTTAGTAAGGGTGGGAGAATAAGGGCTTTTCCTCCTCACAAGCTAAAATCTGAAACATTCACTTTATCCAACTTTCTGTTGCCCTAAGGTGAGAATGTAAAGGAGAGTAGGCAGTATAGCTGTTTATACTGGTGTGAGAGCTTTTCCCTAAGAATGATTAAGGAGAGCAGACAATCCACACCCTCAGCTGGAATCCCCACTCCATCCCCACTCCCCTTCCACACGGTTCATGGTCATCAGTTCCCAAGTATATATATTAAATAGGGGCTGCACATACATAAGTTTATTTTTAAGAAACTTTTTTTTTTTTTTAAAGGAGACTTATTCTTTGCCCACCTTGGAGGCACGGGATGCCCAGTGAGTGTAGCACATCATCTGAGTTCTACCCAACTTATCTGTGCTTTGTGTCTGGAAAGGCATGAACAGCTCACAGCAGTTTTGGGTTGTCATTTAGCCGAAGGCTGGAATACATTCCCACATGCCGAACCAGGTTGGGTTCCACCACGTAGGCATTCTCCCCCTTAGTACGCAGCAGGGAGTAGAGGGCAATATCCTTAGCAAAACCCTGGCGGCAGTGCAGCCCCTTCAGGTAACCTAAGGCACGGTGGGCAGATGGAGCAGAGAAGAGCATGGCAGGCGTGCAGCACTCGGTGACTGGCACAATATTATAGAGTGTGGGGGCCAGCCGGCGCAGCTCCAGCATGTAATGCCGTCCCACCAGCTCTGACAAAGCCATACTGTACACAGCAAAGAACAAGACCATGGGCCAACTGAGGCTGGGGCGCCCAGTTGCCCAGGAGTACACGCAGTTCAACACAGGCCCCAGAAACATGCCCAGACCTAGCCACTCAAGGATTCTCATGGGTTCAGGGTTGAAGTAGCGCTGAAGCCTCTCGGGGTGGTACAGCTTGAAGTAGAGCGCGTCTCTGAGGTATGGTTTGGAGAACCGGGCCAACAAGAGGTGCTGTAAGACAGTGAATATCTCCTCCTCTGGTACAGCATCGTCTTCCACTATGAGGATGTATTCTGGGTTGTACGCCAACAGCGATTGTTCAAGGCAGAAGACATAGTCCTGCTTCTCCTTCTCGAACTGGTTCATGCTGGGGTCAGGGTTCTCTCCAGTTTTGTCACGACTGACCATAGGAAAGAAGCTGCTCAGCAGCCTGACATCCTGATGACTACTGGGGTCTGACTCCACATTACAAATGAGTATGCGGTGGCTCTGGCAATGTGCACCACATTTCTGGAGGAGGCGGTGGAAGTGGGAGGCCACTTGCAAGACATAGTGGAAATCATTCCGCCTCTGCACAGTGATAATGGTGACCAGCAGCAAGGGCTGGAAGGCATCACTGCCAGAGGCCTCAGAGGCATTTGGTATCTGCAGCTTCTCAAAGTAATGCAGGGCAGCCTGGCCCTCCTGCTGGTTCTGCTCCAGAAACTCCTGGCTCATGGGGTTCAGGTGCCAGTGCCGCAAATAGAAGTAAGAGTGGAGAAGCCGGTGGCAAATCAAAGGTGCGAGCACACCAAATGTCACCACAGTCAGTGTGAACAGATGGATAAAAGGACTGGACCAACGGCACCACCTCCCAAAGAGAGGCCAGGTTTGGTGTAACATGGCTGGCTGCAGAAGGAAAGCACCCCTGCTCTGTTCATGCCTTCGTTCCTTCACATCTGATGCATCCTCCCTGCATTACAAGGTATCACTGGGGCAGCGGCTGCCAAACCTGCACTATTTGTCTAAGCCTAGAGAGGAAGAGAAAAGACAGTTAATGAAATGGGAACTGTCAGAGTGGGAAGACAGTGATTGAATAAACAGAAAGCTGAGAGCTAGTCACTGAGTAAGCCAAAATAGAAGGCCCCTGAGGAGTCCCTTGTGGTGGGGGCATAACAGAATTGGTGTGGGATGTTGAGGAAAGATGGGCCAAACTTAGTTTCCAGCAAAGTGCCCCAAGGCCTTTTCAGCATGTAGGAGCTCTGATCTGATTTAGCTAGATAGGACTTTGTTGTGTTTCTTACTATGCTTCAAATGCTAACAAATGGGGAGCATGGATGCACGATGTGTGAAAATCCCTTTCTTTTGAAGGCAGAAAGCTTGGATACCACTGGTGTTAAGAGAAAAGCCACTGCCCGAGCATTCACACACTATTCGAGGAGTTGCACACACACCACCCAAGACTTTCACAGCTAAGACCAAAGCCCCTTCACAGTGGGTGATGCCAGTGAGCTGATGGGTGCCCCTTCTTAACTCCTCACTTGCACACACAATCTCCCTTGGGCACTTCCTCCTCCCTCAGGCTCAAGCCTAGGTGTCCCGAAGCAGAGACTCTGACATGACATACATCAGGTGAATTTACTGATTGGTATAGCTCAAGTTGGATGCCTCTGGAGAGGGGTCCTGAACAAAGAAATTCCTGGGCAATTAAACTCTTACAATCTAAGTTCCCCTTCCCTCATGCGATGGTTCAGTGCAATAATAATATTTGGGTCTGGGGTCTTCTTGTTCCTCAATGGGTCCTTTTTCTGCCTTCACATGGGCCATTCCTTATCTCAAGGATGCAGCCTCTGCTGACAGATGTCACAACCTTATTTTTCACAGGATGCAGCTACTGCTGATGGATGCATTTTTTACAGGATGCACCAGTCATGAAACTACATGTAAGTTCTGCATAAGGTCACTGCTTGTGGCCTAAGGTTTTATCAAGTCTTGCTGTTAATGCCATACAATGGATTACGTTTGAGCTAGTAAGTGACTGTATAATGGATTCTGTTAAAGCTACTCTAACTGTAAGACCTGGGTCACAGCCAAGAACCAAAGCCAGATCTCTTGTATCTTAGCCTAGCACATATTTGAGAGACAAACTTTTACCTCTGTAGAATGACACGTTTCCCTTCTGTTCCTCACAAACTTCCAAATGCATGCTTTTTGACTTTACTCCTCAGAGTGTGAAGCAAGATTAACAAAGATACCAATTTACTTCACTAAGAGCATGTGTACACTAAGTGTAATATGTGTGTGTCTCTCAGCTGTCTTCTCCTCCCTAGACCCTGTGAAATACACAATCACAGCAAGATTAACAAGTTGCAATTGAGCCATTGATTCATATTTGTTATTTGCAAGTTTACAATTTAAAATTAAATGCCTTTAATTTAAAACTGATTTTTTTTAAATACACACTTTAAGCAAATATCCACCTTCACAAAAATTATATTTTGCCATGTTTGGCTTCTGTTCTGCTTCTCTGGGCTGTCACTAACACCTAACAGCTTGGCTGTCAGAAGCTTACACAAAATCAGGGCAACTGGCTGTTAAGATAAATTCTCTTGTGCCAGTAATTTCCTTTTTAATCTGTTTGACTCTCACTTTTACATTTCATCCCTCTTGTTATGGAGTTACTCATGCCCACATCAGCTGACTGTGCACTGGTGCTCCCAGACCAAAATGTTACCCTTTTTCCTCCTCTGCATTATTGTCTGAAGCAGCCTAACTGGTTGCATGGAAAGAAATCAGGGCTGTGGCTTTTCTTCTGTCTCAGAAGAATGGACCATGTAGAAGAAATGACTCAGAGGACACTGAAAAGGGTCTAATTCAGTGTCAACTTCAAAACTGCTTTCATTACTGTAGTCACACATTTGCTGAATTTACCAGTAAGAGTACTGCTTTCTATTGCCATAGAGGAATCTGACAATCTTATGTAAAAGCCCTTTCACTAAGATTAATGGAAAATATAGAAGACTTATTCCAAATATTTGTTAGAGACCAGGCACTTCATGCTGCGAGATCTCAAACCATCCTTGGACAGACTGTGGCATCAGTGTTGTGCTATCTTATGATTCACAAAAACACAGGCTTTCAAAGATTTAGTGTAATTATACAGAGATAACAAATTTACACAATGATGCATGAAAATCTGCAGTGTCTTCCCATATAGATCTTTTTTTTTTTTTTTCTTTCTGATTACACAGTCCTGTTTCACAGACACTGTATTCTATTACATCAGTGGACCTTGTAAAGGCCTTAAAGGTGATGGCTGCATTTCAGCCAGTGGCTAGATCCAAGCCATGATGATTCAGGACATGAAGACCTGAAATCCATCAGATACAAAGACCTGGTGTTTAAATGCATTTATCTATTCAAAATCCAGGGCTTTCCTCTTCTTATTTTCTGCTACCCAGTCACAAATGTTAAGGGAACATACAAATGCAGAATCATATTCTACAACTCATGCTGGCTTACTTCTGAGCCTTTCTCTTGATGCGAGCAGCATTGCTGGCACTGTCGCTGAGCCAGCCTCCAAACCTGAAAGACTGCAGTGGGAAAAGGAGATGAAGAAAAGCTAAAAGGTACTTTAGTTCTGAGAGACTAAAGAAACTTACTTTCCATCTGTCTTTGTTATGATGGAGATCTGAGCTACAAAAACTATAAACCTGCATTGAGTTCCGTAGCTCTTGGGATATATACACTGAGGCATTAATAGTCCCTACCGAAGCAAAAGGCATCCTCCTCCTTCACACTATCTTCTACTGGAAAGGGAGAAATAGGAGAATGTCTTCCCTGCAGCAGCAGAACAGTTGAGATCTGGGAGCTGCGGCCTCACGAGATGAATCAAAGGGAAGCTTGCCTGAGGTCTTGCTCTTCTGCAGCCTGTGTTGTTCAAGGGTCAGGCTCACCTGCACCACGAGAAGGTACCTCCCAGGTCCCTGAGGGTGGACTGAGTCTGCAGCCAGCCGATTAGCCTCCACCGGCCCAGCCTGCTGGAAAAGTTGTGCTGGGACTCCACCTACTGGTGTCACACCGGGTCCTGGCACACGGCACGTAAGCACCACCCTCTCGGGAGGAATCTCCTCGCTTCACACAAGGAAGTAAGTAACTGAAAAAGCACACGGGACTGGCAGCCAGCCATGGAGGTCACGGTCCTGTATGCACAAGCGTTGCTGACTTACTCTGGCTTCACCTCATCTGTAACACAACTTTAGATCTGTGAGCTCTTATTCTCGTTTTGCAACTCAGAACACATCAAGGAAAACCATCAAACAGGAACTTCTGCTTCTCTCCAAATCCTCCTCTGCTGTTAGCACTCACATTGACTGCCACGCTCTTTATCAGTTTATCTGCAGAGGAAAAGGCTGTTTTCACTAGGTAAATGGAATAAACACACAGGCTAAGAATGGTCAGGAGCATATTCAAGTGGGTGAAATAATTCATGCCAAAACCAGGCTGAAGGATCTCAAAGAGAGGAGACACTAACCTCCTTCCCGGTCTTTGGCCGCAACACTTGGAACCCAAGAGTTCCAAATCTAGATAGAAATTTCTTGCATCTACAGAGATGAAGTCTGATCTGCAGGACTTGAATCCAGACTTTCTAGTCAGGTTTTTTTCTAGTCATTAGGGTGGTTCTGACTTTACAGAAGCTATTCTGATTTTAGAAGCCGTTGTTTTTTTTTTTTTTTTTTTTTTTGGGGGGGGAAGAGTCTTTGTTCTTCTTTAAGTATTCAAGTGGCATTTTTGACACAAAAAATGTTTGAAAAGCAAGCATCAGAGTTGGATTTTATAGTACGTTTAAAAAAATGTATGAATCCTGAATAGTAACTACTTCGCAACCATGTAAATACTTGCTGTGGAATCCAGTCACTTTTATGTATCTTCTTCATAGAACTGAGCCCTTGCTTAAACACATTTAGAAGCTGTGTCAATAAAAAGCTCTATATTCAGCTTGTTTCTTTAGCTAGGTTCTCATGATGAAGATTCCTTCTAGAAACATCTGGTTCACCTGGTTCCAAATCTACATTCCCATCTTCATTAGTCCCCTAATTACTTGGCTGAATTATAGAGTTCAGGAAAAAGTCACTTCTGCACACAGTGAGGAAGAATAGAAAAATTAGTAACGTTTCTCTTGGGGTGCAGAATACTGTCTGCTGTTCTACTGCTTTAAAATACAAAGCTGATTTTCTGTCTGCTCCAAACTCCACAGCAGTATTCCTGCAGGCAGGCATTCCTGGAACAAAGCTTCTTATGTGCTTCAAAGCTGTGAAAGTTTAGGAAGCTCCTGGATACCTAATGTAAGGAATCTGTTTTCTACTGCCTGCTTTGTGAGACAAGGTATACCTTTATGACTACAATATTAAATGATTCCCTTTTGCCTAGCTACACTTCTTTTTAGTGTCAGTGGGAAAAGCCATTCCTTTTCTAAAATAAAAACAGCTGGATGAAGTCACGTGGTCAGAAGCCATCTCTGTGGGAAACAAAGGTAGGCTCTCAGAAAACGTCATGGAAAGGCCAGCTGTTACAACCCCCACCTCAGTCATAATTGATAGTAGTAATGGTGTTCACACAAGTTGTAGTTTTGACGTATGTGTTCATCCTATAGTGGCATCCCAAATTGAAACCTTTGTGCAAAAAACACTTCTACACCCCAACCTAACATTGTGTGGACAAGCTGCAATCTCAGGACCAAGCTCCTCTACTGATTAACCCTGCCTGGCAGAGACAACATCTTCATCTTGGCTGTGATATTGTTAGTGCACCAGCAAACAGCCCTCCTTGAATTTGAGGCAACTGATGCAAACTTCATAAAGTCATGAGAAGGCATACAGATCTCCTTCTGTTTCATATCTGCATGCTGACAGCTGACTGTTGTGTACAGATACCCTCAGCTTCCGAAACCTGAGGTCCCCACTATGAGATTATCCCTATTACTGGAGCAGATGGCCAGATTTTCTCATCTGCAATTCCTCTTGTTTTCTGACAGCTTTTAGTAGGTCAGGTGCCAGATAACTATTTCTGCACTGTGTTCAGGCTTGCCTTGAAAACAGCAGTGTCCAGCAGAAGCCAAGTATTCACAGACCTGACCATTACACTTGGATGCCAAGCTGAGAGTTGAGCTCCCTAGAAAACACAAACCATCCTGACAAGAGATGTGCTTCTAAAAACATTCAGCAGAAACTTAGTGGTAAGAGCGTAGCAATTGTTCTTTAATTGCATTTTACTTTTATTGTCAAGTACCAATATATCACCTCTTCTACTCCAAGCACTGCTTAAAGCAGTTGTCATTATGTTGTTTCTAGACAATGAATGTCAAGTAAGTCAGGCCTTTGCATTTAACTTTCACCTGAAGTGCTTCCTGCTATGGCAAAGACCAGGACTGCTGGCGATGCACTTGATGTCTCAATTCTCTTAGAACTTTGCTTTTTGTTTCTTATGGTTTATGTACTAAAGGTATAACACTACTACAGTCTAACAGGTTAATGATAGCTTGAAGCATAAGAGAAGTGGCTAGGGAGGTGGAGAAGGTTTGGACTTGGCCCTTTGAAGGACTTACGTGGTATAAGAGGTAGACATCAATGGCACAGCCATCTATTTTGATCTGCCATTCTTCAGAGCCTCTCAATGAACATACAAACCTTTTCTGTCCAAGGAAATGGAATTTAAGCACTATTAGAAAAGTGAAAATGCACAGATACACAGGGAGTAACCCTGTCCAGTTAGGAAACTCCAGGAACTTCAGAATTGCATCTTGAATTTAAATTTACAGATAGGCTGACCTGCTCTTCTTGTTAACTGTAGTTAACTTTTACAGGTTGTTCAGAAATTCAGGGAGGACAGTTTGAAAACTACTGAACTAAGAGGCAAGGTGTGTTGTTGTGGCAGCTGGAAGATAATTTCTCCACTCCCTTCAGCTAAGAAGGTAAAACTATGCCACCAGTGAAACAGGCTATGAGATGAATATGTATTACAGACATTTCCCCAACTTCTGTCTTGCTTCTCATGTATATTAATTTTCCTTTGCCACATAAATATGAAGTGAGTCCATTATCAACACCTGCTGACTTTCACCTGGATGCCTCCCTGCTATGCAGTGTCACAGGAAAGCAATATTCTTCCCTGTTGCTATCAAGCAGCAAAGTCAGCATTCAGGTCAAGCGGGAGTGGAAGGCAGCCTTGAAAGAGAGTTCTGCAAGATAATAGCTTAACACAGACTTAAGGAGTTTTGTAAGGAGCTGTCTTCTAGCACCAAAGGTTT